TTATTCGTTTTTGAAAGTGCAGGCGACCTAAGGTCAAGCTTCTTCAGGTGAGAATAGGAGGAGGAGGATGGGTCGTGATTACGGGCAGGACTTGATGTAAGAAAATTATTGGAGTTTTTTTTCTAATAGTGTTGAGAATAGTAGGGCTGCATGAAATAAGGTCAGGGTGGCCATCAATATGATTAGAAGAATTTATAAGGAGAGGTATTTGGGTGGAAAGGTAGACAGTAAACTCAAGAGACAGAACAAATGCTGCAATAAAGGCCAAAAATACCAAAGATGAGAAGTTGAGACAACAAGGTGCAGAGCTGGATGAACACAGCAGGCCAAGCAGCATCACAGGAGCAGGAAGGCTGACGTTTCGGGCCTAGAGCCTTCATCAGAAAAGGGGGAGGGGAAGCGAATAGAAGATGGATAGAGAAGATAGATGGAGAGGAAACAGACAGGTGAGAGGCGGGGATGGAGCCAGTAAAAGGTGAGTGTCGGTGGGGAGGTAGGGAGGAGATAGGTCAGTCCAGGGAGGATGGACAGGACAAGGGGGTGGGATGAGGTTAGTAGGTAGGAGATGGGGATGTGGCTTGAGGTGGGAGGAGGGGACTAGCTGGGCTGGTTTTGGGATGCGGTAGGGGGAGGGGAGATTTTGAAGCTTGTGAAATCCACATTTCCTAAGAGGCTCGCAGTGGGGTTAAAATTGTATCAGATATAGTAGGACACCCCCTTCCCGATGAAGGGTCTAGGCCCGAAACGTCAGCCTTCCTGCTCCTATGATGCTGCTTGGCCTGCTGTGTTCATCCAGCTCTGCACCTTGTTGTCTCGGATTCTCCAGCATCTGCAGTTCCTACTATATCTGATACAAAGATGAGAAGTTGATTGGTGAAAAGGCAGAGAGGACAAGGATGTTTCTGCAAGAATCTTGTAGCAAAATTTGGATGTGTGACACATAACAAGGATTTTAGAAGGCAGGTACATGGGGTGGAACCAAGATGCTCAAAAGGAGAAGTTACCAAATCAGGATGAGGAGTTAAGAAGGGTTGCACCGTCACCACAGTGGTTTGAACAAGGCAAGTGGCAACAAGTGCAGCCAAGCAGAGAAGCTTATTTACAGGGAAAGGTGGCATTCCCTGTCAAATCATGATGTTAACAAGATCATCCACTATAAGCTCACTAATGGCAAGGCCCTTATTCACAAGTGAGTATGTGTTTTCAAATATATGAAGGGGAAGGTGATTGCTAATCGCCAGAGACCAGCGAATCAAAGCTGGGAGTGAAGAGAAGGATGGTGAAGGTACTCCACTGATTACGTTTCAGCCTGAAAAAGGTCCATTAATCCCAAATAAAAACCAAAAGAACCACAATGCTGTAAATCATACAAAAAATAGAAATTGCTGGAAAAGCTCAGCAGGTCTGGCAGCATTTGTGGAGAGAAATCAGATTTAATGTTTCAGGTTGAGCGACCCTCCCTCAGAACATTAATCCCAATGGTCTTCTGTGTTAACTTGTCCTCAATCCATGCTATTACCCCACCAATACAATGAGCTCCTATTGTGTGCAATAACATTTTGAGACATTGTGTCAAGTGCTCTCTGGAAATCCAAATACACTACATCAACAGCTTTGCTTTGACAAGCTACTTGATATTTCCTCAAAGAACAGGCAAATTTCCCTTTAATAAAACCATGTTGACACTGTTTGATACTGTTAGGCTTTTCTAAATGTCCTTTTATTTATTCTTTAACAAAAGTCTTTAGCATTTTCCCAATGATAGATATACGTTAACTGGTCTATGGTTTCCTGCTTTCTGTCTCTTTTCGTTCTTGAATAGGAGGGATCATATCTATTCTCCTATCCATTGGAACCCTCCAGAATCCAGTGAGTTCTGGAATATTTCAACCAATGGCTTCCCTCTGTAGTCACTTCCTTTAAAACCCTTGAATGCAGACCATCAGATCCTGGTGACTCGTCTGCATTTAGTCAATTTTTTAAAAAATGTCCCATTAGTTTGTCAAATATCTTGGCACTCAACCATAAACTGTTAGAAGACCTTTGCTACTATTTGCACATTGCTTCAATGATGTGATCATTGTATGCAAAACTAAGGGAGTACTATCTGACATCACTGACACCAATGTCCCAGGCAGCAACTTGCATTAAAGATAGCAAAAATCAAAAGGCAGGCAAAGCAAATAACACTGTTCAGATTCATTTCGCTCAGTTTTCTCCCCTGACCAATGCCTTCTGCTTCCCTCACTATTGTCCTTTATCCCTTCCTGTCATGCCCCTGCTCCTTCCCACTGTTGGTTCATTTCCCTCCATTCCTTCCCATTTTACTTGTTCCCACCACTGTCTCCACCACAGTTGACTTTTACCACATCTATCATTCCTTCCTATCTCCTATTCTTCCTGCCACCACCATTACCAGAGCCTTCCTGAGACTCTTTAAAGCTAGTTTGCTTCTCTCATTTTCTTCAGCACTGCCTCTCCACAAGCTCACTCCCTCTCCTGCTGCCCCTCACACGACTCTCACTGTTGATTCCACAACCTATTCCTGCCCTCTTCCCCAAGTGAGGGGGAGACGATGGGAGGCAGTGGGAGTTGGGGTAGTGATAAGGGAATAAGCAGAAGCCACAGTTTGAGAAAACAATGGCAGCCTCACCATGGTGACAGTAGCTCAAGAAACTGTGCACATCATTGACCAGAGAGAAAGCTGACTTCCTCCAAGTGGGAGCCAACTTCCTTTTCCACTACAGAAGAAATTAGTGACTTGCATTAAGTATTAAGTATTATCATCTGATTGACATACTCTTGCATTTTAAGTAAGAAATTCTTAGAAGATGTGGAGAGGAACTGACAGCCAATCCAGAAGCACAGTCAATAAATTAAACTTTACATAGTCACTTGGCAGAAAGGAACATGAGTATTGCTGACAACAAAAAGACATTTGTTGAAGCTTTTGCCTTGTATTTATCAGGACATTTCATAAGAATGCCAATTCAAAGGAAGAACCAACATACATACAGCATGTAAGAAGAGTGCAGGTTGGATGAAAAGTGGACTGATTAGTAGGAGGTGCTGCTGTGGAAAATATGATCAATAATGTTGATCAAAGGTTTCAGCTTGGTTGTTAAATTTTATATCAGGCAGGTTGACTCCAATCGGTCAGAACATTGCCCTGGGAAATGAACTCGTGAATAGATGTCCCCTAATTTGAGTTGAAACAGATGCAGCGTGTCCATATTCTGTCTGCAAAGAACAAGACTCTATAGCTTCCAGTACATGCAAGAATGACAATCAGGCTCTCGGTTTGGCAATCAGGTTGTCAGTATAGTTCCTTGTACATCAGGCCTATCCACCAAATGCCATCCAATTGTAACACCACATTTCATTTTGGACACGAGTTTTGCTAGTGCAGACTGACTGGATAATCAGTGCCTTGCTTGTTACAAATAACTGTTTGATGTTGTCATGCTGTTTAATATCACCAGCCACTGTTTAGGGGACACAACCCCAAGCATTACCTAGCATTACACTGGCACAAAAATTCATATACCACTTTATTCATCTGTGAACGGCAGAATGTCTTTTTGGCTTAACTGCAGCATGCTGTTAGTGGCAAACACCACTAGCATTGCTATTGCCTAATAGTTTGAAACAACTGACTTCAACGATTAATCGAACTTCTGAGATACTCAGCATTTCCAGGCTAATCAGAAGTAGACAGAATCTTTCAGGACCAAGACTGTCTGCCTTATGATCTTCCACAGGTTTGTGTAATATACAGCAAGAAGTGACCTGATTAAGAGTAGCCAATATCCCTCAAGATGGCTTTGATGAATTCTATTTCAACATCAAGTTTGTACAGTGAACGAATGGCTCAGACTCAATCAAGGTTTCTGATAAGACTAATCTTATAGCATGTGAAACTGTTTTTAAAAAAAATAATATATTTACTGGCAAGTGAAGGTAAGTTTGTGGTAGACTGTAGTAGGGAACCATTGGCTGATTTCTCAACTAAGGTTTCAAGGAAAGGGAGTTTGATCATTCATTTACTCACTTGACATTACTAGTTTAGTCACCAGTGTGCCTCTCAAAGAAGCCATGGCCACCTGCACTGCAGCATAATATCATGGTGATCACCACTGAATTAGTATTCATTGAACTTATGAACTCAGCAACTCATGCAGTTGAGATCTGTTCAAATGAAAACATGTATGCCCAAATTGATGTTACCATGGGACCCCTGCCGCAATCAGCTTTGCCAACATCTTTGTGGTATTCCAAAGGAATGGCATCTAACCTCTGCATATTTCCAGATACGTTGGTGCTACATCTACAATGTGTGAATCCACAGCTGCAAGAATGTCCTATGTCTTAACGGGGTCAGTCAAATTATCAAGTCTGCTTACTAACCAGCACTGTCTTCATGCAGTATAAATGTCAGTTTTCCAAGTTTGCTTTCTTGTGACATGACTTGATGATGAAAGGCTTTGACAAAATGTCACTGACACCAAAATTTAAAAATCCAAATTGCTCGCTATTTTTCGTACTTTTCTTTCAGTTGAATGCAATACAAAAACATGCTAGAAAAGATCAACTGAAGTGTTATTTGAAGCCATTGCGTGATACCAGTGGTTCACAAGCAACAATTAAAATGTCAAAACAGACCGCTGAGTCCACTTGAACCCTTTCTGAAACATGACAATAACTTAAATACTCCAATGTATAAATGAACTTGTATCTCATTATTTAATAGTCATCTAAATATATCAGCAACTAAAACCATTACTCTTAAAGAGCTGTTGCCAAGTATATAGAATAGATCTAAATATGTTGATTGTGGCTCCTTCTGAAAATGGTAGCTAATTTTCATAAAGACAAATATTTCCATAATTATTTTTCTGAACATCTAATTTTCTTACTGCACAGCTGGAGTGCTATGCAGCATCAATAAACAAGAGAAGTTATTCATCAATAAAAACAATGATCTGTATGTTTGCACTCACCTGGACAGCCCTTAACTGAAGGCAATGGCTTACAAACATTTAAATAAAATGTACGTTTACTTCTATCTTCAGTTGCGTCTACTGCAACCCATGGTTCTTTGTCCCTGGCAAGGTCACTCAGATCATATTCATTACCAGCTATATCTGAAACAAAAATCAAACCAGCCAATAGTACAACATCCATTCACTGATTATTTATTTGACCTAAGTACTGTTTTATCTATTATAAATTATTAGACAAATATTTAGTATTTTAAAGCAGACTGCCAAACAGAGGTCCCTGCTTGGAAGTACAAGGCACTTCCCCTACTAAAGCATAGAGGCAGCAGTGTGGACCGCCTTCAACACGCACACTTCAACATACCCAGGCTTCTTCGGCAGCACTGCCCAAACCATGACCACTACCATCCAGAACAGCAAGGACACCAGATGCATAGGAATACCGTCACCTCCAAGCTCCTTTCTAAATTTCACACCATCCTGCTTAAAATCATCGTCACACCAGAGTCACTGGGTCAAAAACCTCAAAATCCATACCTACTGCTATAACAAGACTTAATACTGTATTTCCCACTTGAAGTAGATAGAGTATGAAAAATAAATCATACAGCAAACTTCTACTCATTAGATTATATGGTGACTCAACTCATTGCACAATTTTAAAAAATGTACTAACCTCTCATTGTAATAAATTGATGGGGTTTTTTTTAAAATGAAATGCAACAAAAACGTTGCATTCTTTAAGATCTCACAATTCACGATGTTTAAACAGCATGATACCAATTAGACTGCAGATTTGTGCAGTTATCATGTAATGAGATAGAGCAAATGTATCTCTGATTATCTGGGCAGTTCAAAGAACATTCTGAACGAACGAATGAACGAATTATACAGAATTCAATTCAGTTGCTTACCACTAACAAGGCAGTTCACAGGAGCTGGAAAACAGGCCAAAGCAGTATAAAATTCAAAGTAGGTGTCATGAACACGTGTTGTAGTGCTAATTTCTTCTCGCAGAAACTTGAGCACACCAGGATATGAATCAGTGTCACAGACAAAGCGGATAATAAATTTATCCCGGCGTCCTGCATATTACAACAGCAACAACTTCATGTTACAATAATATTTCACTGTGTGAATGTTCAAGTTCTCAACTATTCATCTTGTAGAAGACCAAAAATTGGGGTGGTGGTGATCACAGTGAACAAAGTGATTACATATGAACACACTTGGGGAAAATGCAAAAATCATACATTGGAGGAAATGAGAAGAAGTTTGTAACAAGTCAGCATTACTCGACAGACATTACTGATCAGTCACAAGTAGGCCTTCATGGACACCAATGTAGCCACGTGCACTGACATTTGTACAAAAGGAGAAGAGCAGTTATGCAGTATAAATACACATGCATCAATTATGCCAAATGGCCAGTTCCAAGGCATTCTACACAATGTTCCACAACTACATCCGAATATGCCCTACCTGAATCTCTTGCCAATGCACCTATGTACGTAAGTGTTATAAGACCACTGGTGGATGCCTCAAGTGATGTTTCCAATCCAACTTGGTGCTTTGGTTCCTGTCCATCTATCTCACATCCAGTTGCCAACTTGCTGTCTATTTTCCCACATTCTTTTAAACCACGGCAGATGTTCAGCTTAAAACAGAGATGAAATAATCTGGATTATTAAGCCAGAACAGATACAAAGTGTACTGTTTTACAACAGGATAGACTGGTCATATCAAAAAGCCGGTCAACAGAATTCAGCCTCCATCCCCAGCCACCACACCTCCCCCAACCCCCGCCATAAGAAATAAACAACAAACAAGCAAAGATAATAAATTAGAAGTAGGGTCCATGAAACACATCAGCAGTACTGACCTAAAATCAGAAAGTTCTGCAAGTACACAAATCCGACAGCATGTGTGGAGAAGTCAGCAGCTGACATTTCAAGTCAATGACCTTCTGCTGAAGCAGAGGTCACTTCAGGGTAGCAGTTTTTAGTCAAACCAGGAGAACGTGACATTTATGCAAAGTCCATTACAATGTCACTACCAAACACCTCTTTTCCCTCTTCTCTCAGACTTCTGATGGAACCATTTCCTCTGACATTCACTAACGCCACCCCTTCCTATGACACTTTCAAGCACAAGATGGAACACCTGGCATTTCTCCTCTTGCGTACCTATCACCCAAAGCCCCAAACACTCCTTTTTCAGGGGAAAATCAATTTACTGAAATTAAATGAGAGGAAAAAACTGTAGGCGAATATCTGAAACAAGGAAAGGTCACCGGACTCAAAATGTTAACTCTGCTTTCTCGCCACAGATGCTGCAAGACCTGCTGAGTTTCTGTATTTACTGAACTTTGGTCTGTGTTCTACATCTCAAGGCAGTGCCCAAGTGTAATTGCCAGTCTTTCAGGCAAAAAAATATAGACTAGGTGAACGCTTTGTGTAACAGTATTTAGCTGCAAGTGCAACCCTAATTTTCTTTGCCATTTTAAATCTCTACTTTGATACCTCTGACATCTAGTGTTTTCATTGAAGCAATACCTCAACTAGAAAATTTGAAAAGCACTGAAGTACAAGAAATGGTGTAAACTTTCTACACTTTGCTGGACAGTTTAGTGTGTTTTAGGTACATAGGAGTAGGAGAAGGCTTTTCAGCCCATCAAGCCTGCTCTGCCACCCTTGATCACGTTGATCTAAAATATCATCCTATTCTCACACAATCCCTAGATAGTAACTACAATTTATTAATCCTTCACTTGCCTGAAGAGGAGGTTGCAAATGTAGACCTATTCTTTAAGAAAGGAAAGGAGAGGGTTGAAATACAGCTACAGATCTGTTAACCTTGAGTGAGCAAGTTTCTGTAGACCACTGGGGTATAGAAATCCAAAAAGATTCATCAACCTGACAGAAAGAAACTTCATCCACACTTCAATCCTAAATGTCTTTTATTCTGAGACTGTGTCTTGGTTCTAGACCCCATAGCCAAGGGAAAACATCCTTTCTGCATCTACTGCCAATCCTTTAAGAATTTACGTTTGCGAAGTTACCTCTCATTCTTCTAAACTCCAGAAAACACAGGACCAGCGTTCCCAATCTGTCCTTGAAAGACAGTTCTATCATCCCAGGAATCAGACTGATGAGCTCTCGCTGCGTTTTGTTAAAATATATCCTTGCTTAGGTAAGGGAACCAGAACTATACTATACTTCAGGTACTCTCTCTATAGAATTGAACTAAGATATCTTTGTTTCTGCACTCAAATCCTCTTACAATAATGGACAATATACTAACTGCCTTCCAAAGTGCTTGTTTATGAACAAGGAGACAGAGGACATTTTCTAGTCTCTTATAATTTAAGAAATATATTGCACCTTCATTCCTCCTACCAGAATGACTAACCTCTCACTTACTCACATTATATTTCATCTACCATGCTCTTATCCACCCACTCACCCCATCCAAATTCCTTTGAAGACTCTTTGCATCCTCCTCATAATGCTCATTCTCACTAAGTTGCTTGTCAAACTTGGAAATATTGTAATTGGCCCCCTGCATCTAATCATTGACAAATAATGAACAGCAATGGGCCGAAGGACTGATATTTCCAGTACCCCACTGGTCACAGCTCATCAACCTCAAAATGACCCAATTATTCCTACTGTTTTCTGCCCATTAAATAATCCTCAACCCATGTGAATATGTTACTTCCAATCCCAGTGGGCTTTAATTTTGTTCACTTAACCTCATAAGGGACTTGAGCTAAAACATTCTGAAAATCCAAATACATCAAATCTGCTGACTTGTCATTGACCAAGTAAAATCTTTAAAAGCTTCATCAGGTTTTCAAATGCGATTGCACTTTTATAAAGCCATGTTGACATTGTCCAACTGGCTAGTTGCTTCCTAAACATCTGCTAACCACATCCTTTAGAATAGATGCTGACATTTTCTCAACTACTGACATGAGGTTAAAGAGATCTGTAGTTCTCTTTCAACACTCTCCTTCCTTAAAGAATAGGGCTACATTTGTAACTTCATCTTCAGGCAGCGTGAAGAATTAATAGAATTTTGAAAGAATCATTAATGCATCCACTATCTCCATGATCATTTCTTTCAACACTCTAGGTTGAAGGTAAACAGGTCCTGGGGTTTTCAACTTTCAGTTCTGTTAAATTCTCAAACTGCTTGGTTTTCACTAATACTAATTTATTGCAGTTCCACACTCTCACTTGACCCTTGAATCTTCATACTTCAGGGAGATTATTTCTCTCTTCTGTAAGGGTGCATACACAGTATGGTGGCTCAGCGGTTAGCACTGCCTCATAGCACCAGGACCTGGGGTTCAATTCCACCCTTGGACAATAGTCTGTTCGGAATTTGCACGTTCTCCCAGTGTCTGCATGGGTTTCCGCCAGATGCTCTGGTTCCCTCCCACAGTCCAAAGATGGGCAAGTTAGGTGGATTAGCCATGCTAAATTGCCCAGAGTGTTCAGGGATGTGAGAGTTAGTGCATTAGCCATGGGAAATGCGGGGTTACAGGGAAAGGGCAGGGGCATGGGTTTTGGTGGGATGTTCTTCAGAGGATTGGTGTGGACTTGGTGGGCTGAATGGCCTGCTTCCACACTGTAGGGATTTTATGGATTCTATGGAAAGTACTTACTTAGCTTATCTAATATCCGTTTATTGTAAATTCTCCAGTCTCTCCTTGAAATGGACCCATGTTTGTCTTTGCTAATCTTTTCCTTTCTTGCATTTCTCTAGAAACTTTTGAAATGCATTTGTGTTACATATTCCAGTGCATTTTTAAACATCTTAATTGCTGCCGAACAACTTCTCTGGCACTGAAAATTAACTTTAAGTTTATTCAGATTTCAACTATAGTTCAAGATTGCAATTTTTAAAAAAATGTTAGTTTGATCTCTTATTTTGTTCCTCCTTAACAAGTCAGTACCCTTCTTTGGGCATGGAATTAAACACTGATCCTTCTTAGTTTGGATTCTGCTGCTTATTAATCATTCTTTAATCTGATGAGTGATAAAATGTGTAATTGCTCCCCTCAAGTACATCATACTGACTGATGCACATTTTCTCCTCATAGTAGGCCAAAACAAACTTCCAGTTCAAAACTACAAAGTCAAATTCAAGTATAATGATTAGCTCTCAAAATTCATTCTATTTGGTCAGATATTTATTCATCTGAAAGACACATGGATATAAAACTAGACCCCAAATTGAACAATTCTTAAGTCAGAAGAGCTCTGACATTCTTTATTCCAACTCAGAGCACATAACTACAAATTAATATCATTTTTTACTATTTAAAATGTAACAGAAAGCAGTCAATCTCCAGGGTTCTAACCTTAAATACCATGTGATTTCCAGTAACTGAGTAACCAGAGTCTGAAGCCAGAGGCAGAAAGTTAAAGACAAAACCAGTGTTGGGATCTTCCACTGAGCAATTCTAGAAAGAAGATCATAGGTATTTTAGTGGAGCAACTTGTTCTACCATAACTAAGGTTTTATAAAGGCACATTTGTTTCACAAAAAAAATGATCAGCCTCAGCTCCACTGAGGTTGCCACTTGCTCTACGATCAATCACTAACACACTGGTGCATTGACAGAAAATTCCAGTGATTTTGAAATCTATCAAATCTATAGAAAACATCTGAATCATCTGTTCACTGTTTAGATCAGTGAAAACGCAAATGAGTTAGGGAGGTGTTGGAGGAGATTCATTTATCGTTGCTTAGGAAGAGGAGCAGAAAATCAGGCGTTTCATTTTCCAAAGTCAGATATCAGAACAACATGGGAAGTGATTTCAATATGAAGTCTCAACACACGAAGAAAAGAAACTGTAACTTGGCTATAAAATCAAATATTTTGCTGTAATGCCCTAAGCCAGAATAATTGGCTAACTATTTGGTTGCAATAACATAAAATTTGTATTTCTTTGGCAAATTAAGATGATGGTGCAGACAATACCAAACAAACCAGAGGCAGTACTAGGTCCCTTGGGCCGGTTCCATCATCCCATAAGAAATGGTTAACCTGACTGTGGCTCAACTCCACTTACCTGTCCATTTATCAAAATGCTAGACTCCCTTGTCAATCAAAAATTTGTCAAACTCAGTCTTGAAATAGTCAATAATCCAGCCGTTGCTGCTGCTCTCAGATCAATCTGGAGAGAAAAAGAATTCTCGTCTCCATTTGAAATGGGAGACATTTAATTTTTAAACTATGACCCTTAGTTATAGGCACCTCAAAAAAAGGTGAAATAAGAAAGGAAAATAGGACTGAAAGTGAACAATTTTACATCTGAAGAATCATTACAGTGGAAAGCCATATATCCTGGGTACAGTCCTTTGTTTGATCATCTTCAACTGTTTCATCGTTGACTTTCATTTGATCAGAAGGTCAGAAGTGGCAATGTTTGATGATTGCACAGCACCACTTAGGATGACTCAGATACTGGAGCAGTTTGTCAACATGGAGTAGGATGTGGACAACATCCAGCAAATGAGATTACTGAGCAATGACCATTTCCAACAAGACAGCTTCTAACCACCAGCTGTTGACATTCAATGGCTTTGTCATGACTGAATTCCACTCTCCTGTCAACAACCTGGAGATTACCATTGACTAGAAATGGAACTGGACTAGCTACATAAATGTACTATAACTAGAAGAGAAAGTCAGAGGCGGAGAATTCTGCAATGAGTAACTGACCCCTGACTTCCCAAAGCTTGTCCATCATCTACAAGGCACAAATCAGGAGTGTGATTGAATACTTTTGACTTGCCTGGATGGGCTTTGTTCAAACACAAGAAGCTTAAAACCATCCAGCCCATACTATTTGATGTGTACCCTATCCATCACCTTTTATAATTATTCCCTCCATGATGTACTATGGCTGTACTGTGTACCATCTACAAGAACTACTTCAATAACTCACCATGGCTCCCTCAATAGCACCTTTCAAACAGATTTCTATCAAAAGGACAAAGATAGTGAATGCATGGTATCACCACCTGCAAGGCCCCCTCTAAGCTGTAGATTATCCTGACTCAGGTCTTTTCAAATCTTAACTAGCACTAGGTCAAAATCTTGGAACTCCTTTCTGAATAGCACTAGGGTGCCTACACCCTATGGATTACAGATATACAAAGGTAGCTCACCTCCACCTTCTCAAGGGCAAATAGGAATAGGCCATAAATTTTGGCCTAGCCAGAAATGCACACATCCCTTCAAAGTGAATAAAAAAAATCCACAGCAGACAAATCCAAAAATACAAATATTCAAAAATTGGTTGTTCCGCCATCCAAATATAGCAAAGTATCAGGTACGTCAGGGGCTCTCAAGCAAGGTTTTTCCAGAGCGTCTAAAAAGACAAGAGGTTGTGGACAGCTTTAGGAACAGAACTGCAGGCCTTACAGGACCTAATCAGCTGAAAGACCAATGACTTGGATGAAGAAAATCTGGGGTCAAGAGGCCAGAATTTAAATAACTTGGAAGGTTTCTGGGCTTGAGAATATTTTTGAGACAGGAACTGGTAATGACAGGAAAGGCAATGCAACAATAAAAGCCAGCCAATGTTGTTCTGTAAATAAGGATGATGGCATGACTAGGTCTTGGCACAAGTTAGAATGTGGACAGTATACTGCTGATAAAGCATTTGTTTTAAAAGTGGTTTTACACTGAATAACAGCCTTAGAGTGAGATTTATCAGGGCAAACATGTTAAATTCGGAGAAAAATGCCCAAGCTCCAAAAAGAATATTTCAATAATAGAATTGACATTCCAATCCATGACTAAATTTAGCATTCTTGATTAACAGTCATTGACTTTACCTCATTTGATTCTTGAATTGTTGCGATAGGACAGGCTGCATTGGTTTCCCACAGGAATGTGACCACACAATCTTTATGTTCAATGAACCTTGGACCAGAAGACTATATGCATAATTAAAAACATTAGCATGGTCATCTCACAAGGAAATAAAGCTATACTATCAAAGCTATACACAATACTATCATCCAAGTAAAGCCTGGCAATAATTCTACCCAAGTTTAGCCCAACAGAACACTAGAATCGATCAAAGGGGTAACTTTCTGACTTAGCAGTCCTGCAAGTTATCTTGCCCACCAAAAATATGAACATGTACATGATTTTCCAAACATTTGAAACAAAGATCAGAACGCGTGCTTTGTGTCTTTCTAAGTTTATGATCTGCTTTTCTATCTCCAAAGTGACAATTAGCCTAAGCCAAAAAATCTCCTTCTCAAAGCACGTTAAATATAAATATTGCAAAAAGGAAACAAAAAGTTGAAGATTACAACTTGCACTTAGAATTGAGGGAAGAAACAGTTGAACAAAGGGATACCATTTTATCTAGCGGAGGAAGTGCATGCTGATTGGCCACATGGTCTGAGATCAAGAATGATACAATTGTTCTTGCCTTATTTCCCTGCCAATGACCACCCAGCCAATTAGTAGCCTCTTTTCATGCTTTATAAAAATCCCTCTGTTCAACTGTTTCTTGTTTCCTAGTTCAAATGAGTGCAAGACAAAAGGTTCAACTCCACAACGTTTAAACACATTAGTAAGAGTCATAAGTGAGAGTTTAATGTTTAAATGAAGCACTATACACAAACAAAATATGGAGCATACGTGGATTTGCAAGGTGTAGAATTAAGTGGACTTGTGTTATCTTCAAAGAATCAGTATTTACAGATTCCATTACATATTGGTGGCATGGCCTACTAATTATGTGATTTACAACTTTACTTGGAAAATTAAATTTATTAAAACAATGAATATTAATTATTACTGAATTGAGGAGAAGTACAAGACCACAGCTGAAAACTTCAGGTTCTCTTACGTAAAACTTCAAATAAATATGTTTCTCCATTGCTAAAAGTATCATATTGAGTAAAGTTAGATTGGTGCAGTTGGATTCTAACTCAAATCAAAAGCTTGTTGCAACAGAACCTCAATACCCACTTCAGTGCAGTATTGAGAGATCAAAAGATTGGCCAAAGTGGCATCTAGCAGAAGGATATTAAAATGAGACCCCATTCATTCCATTCATGTGAATCCAAAAAAAATTATGGCACTATCTGAAGAACAAAGTTACGACCTAGATTTTTCCTGCAGGCAACATCTCCAGTCATCTGTTCTATTTGTGGAACCTCAACGAGTACCAATTAACTGTTGTATTTATTTGCTTAATCTTCCGTAAAGTAGCCTTTTGATTATGAAGTGCTCTAGGGCATGCCAAGGCACTAAATAATTGCAAGCGATCTTTCCACAGCATAACATTCCAATAAATTTTCCCTTAGGTTTTGTCATATCCTGGAAAGTAATGATAGGGTCACATTACTAGTGCTGAGTTTATGTAGTCTTTCATAAGCTAATTCTAATGTACTTCTCCCTCTCCTGTGTGGTACATGATGCTACTTCATGGCTTATCCCAACTGCAGGATGACCTCAAGTTACTGGTAGAACTGCTAAAGATTAGGAGAAAGATGCACATTTAAAAATCAAGACTGAAGCAATCTTTAAGCACTCTTATGATGTTTGGAAATTTATTCAAAATATAATTGTCAAATCAATAAATAGCAAATATCTGATTAGGAAGGAAAGAACAGTTTAAGATAATGATGAAAGCAATCATACTAGAAAGAAAAACCAGGTCAAGTTCACTGTAAAAGTATGCTCTTGCTTTGGAAACTAAGTATTGTTAAAAAAAGAGTTGTAAAAAGGTGGTAAAAGGGAAATTTCCTTACCAGTTCTTTCGAACAACTTAGGTGAATACGGGTAGTGTAAGAAGTTTTATTACCACCTGAATTGGTACACACTGATCCATTTAGGTATTCCAAAATAATCCGTCCATCTTTTTCTAGCTTGGGACCATTTTTGGCAATACCCAGATTGCTAATGGATACTTTTTCATAAACTGCATCCTAAACATAAACCAAACTTCATGTAAGCAATTGCACATTCCTAACACTAGTTTAAATTTTCCACCATTTAAAATCTATATTCAAGTTTTTGACAAGTTTGCTGAGTTACATAGGCAAATCAAATATTCAGAACAGTACTTTCAGAGAATGTAATTGCAAATCATTGTAATTTGCTTAACCATTCTAAACATTGAAATGAAAAGGAATACACCTGGATAGTTGTGTTTCAACACGTTTAATAAACAATGATAGTAGTCTTAAATTTCACACTTGAATAACAAACTGACACAGTTTGCATTATAAATGCATCTTGAATTTATATTTATATGCACCCTTACTAGATCTCTTTCATACTGCATCTGGCACACTGCTGCATAGCGATCACATCCTGGAACTGAATTCAGAGGTCTACAGACGTTGATATAATACTTCTTATGGTTACTTGATGTTGTGTCCATTGCAAACCAGTTACCGTCATCACTGTCTTCCAACCTTGATAATCTGAGTAGAAAAGATTTTCAAACAGCACAAAACACTCCGATTGGGCAAACGCTTTTCGTGATTATTTACTACCTCCCCCTATTCTCCCAAAATGCTGAAAACTTTACATAAAGAAGTGTCTCAGACTTCACTCTGCAATCTAATTGATGTCTTTCAGATGTTACACCATGGCTCCTTATGCCAAGTTGAGGTCACAACAAGGTCAATAGAGTTTGTCTACTGCTGAAGATTAGTGTTGCACAGGATTTTTGCCTACATCAACTTGATGAGCATTAGTCACTATAGCAGTTTGACTACAGACCAGGTCAACCAAGCATGGAAAAACAAAGTAGCCTGCATGCTGCCCAATCAAAACAAATTTTAAAAACTGTGAAGTAAGAATCTGCAAGCTTGTCAAGTTAGGAAAAATTACATGAAAAAGCCCACTTAAATATGGTATCTAGAGAAAGCCTATCCTATACAAACTGTAATGGAAAGTTGAATGCATCAAAAAATTCAAAAATGGTTATTTATTAAAAAGTTCTAAGTGAAGATTCTCAGTCTTGAGCTAAGGAGGAGAACATTAAAGGCCAATAGCCACAATGATTTATTTGAACAAAGATCTGGTCAGTTATCAGAATTAAACTACATGGAGTGGTGAGCAAGCCCTAAATCGTTCTAGATTTTTGACTTTCATTTTTTTTTAATGCCCCTTACTCCACATCAAGTAGAATGAGGCACCCAATTTTTATTTTTCATTGATGAGATGAGTGTCGCTGGCTGAGCCACAATTTATTGCCCATTGAGTAGCTTGCTAGGGCCATTTCTAAATGACAGTTAACAGTCAACCCTATGGCAGTGGGACTGGCGCCACATGTAGGTCAACCAGGTAAGGATGCCAGATTTGCTTCCCTAAGGAGGGCATCAGTGAACCATATTGGATCTCATGATGACCAACAGTAGTTCCGTGGTTCTCATTAAGCTAACTTTGATTCCACATTTTTATTGAACTCAAAATTTCACAACCTGCTGTTTACTAATGTCTACTGGCTTTGAACCCATTGCCCCAGAATATCAACCTGGAGCTCTAGATTACTAATCCTAAACATAAACCAAACTTTATGTAAACATTACCACTGGTCTAGGGACCCACACACCACATGCTATAGTTTAGGCATTTAACAAATGAATATACAGAAACAATTTAGTTTTAGCAAAAAAGTAGTTTCAATGACAAATTGAAATTGAATGCCAAAACATTCAGATACTGACAAATGCATCTTGTGATTACTCACCAACTCCCCCCACTCTCATCTTACTTTCCTTTTGCTGTCATGTATTTATACTATAACTGAGCAACGGTGCAAAACAAAAATGCAGTGCTGTGTGAGAATGCAAAGTGATTGAGAATGAGAGATCGTAACTAAACACCACTACTTTTTGTGTAAGTGTGCTTTCAAAGATGACATGTCAAATTGGTCAGATTTTTAACTGAAACAGTAACTGCTGTGAAAAAAAAAATTCTAGTCAGGGACTAGCTAGGATGTCCTTCCTTTTTTAAAAGGGAAAGCTATACTGATTTTTCTTCAAATGCGGTGGTACTTCGTTTTAGGAAAATCTGATACTATTACATGAATATTGGATGAAAAGTATCCGCCCTCTGTCAAAAGGATGTTCAATTCCATTCTGGCAAGCATTTGTTTGCCGGCAAGGTCACTGTAAATCAAGAAAAAAAGCATCAAATGGGAAAAAATGGATTTGCCTACAGGTCTATCAATTGAAAAATTGAGCTAATCTCCATACTCAGAATTGGAGTACCATCTATTGCTATTAGAGTGCCATTGCAAGCCTGCTGAACCCATTATTTATTTGGTCAAGAAATGTCACTGGCTAGGCCAAAATTTGGTGTTCATCCCTAAATGCCCTTGAAGGTGCCTTCTTGAACAACTCTAGCCCACGGTGTGTAGATATACCCACCAGCTCCAACAATTCAGCACTATAGTTTGACAATACCTAACAATGTTCTGCACAAGTTCATGCACTGACGTTACCTACATTATAGCGTTTTCTAACTCACGTTACTGTAGCTTATATGACTTTGAGAGTCTTGGAAAATTCCAAGCCATTAAATGGTACAACTTCAGCTGTAAAAGGAAGAAGCGACCCCCAAATGGTAATTTAAGGTTAAAAATGTGAACAACAAAGCTAGGGTTATGAAGGTAAACTTTACTCAAATCCTGCCTGCTTGCTCAGATCAATTTTTTAAAGACGTAAAATTGAAGCACAATTTATGAACTTTAAAATATACGGACATAAAATCAATCAATGTTGTATTCTTACCTTGACAAATCATACTGTTGCTTTGTAACCTCATTCGTCACTATACAGTCTAATGGCACTTCTGGGCAAGCGTATTGTGTGTACCACTTGAAATTGTAAGTGTACTCATCTTCCTCCTAATGTTAAAAGGCAACTATCGCAGCATTAAGTACATAAGATCATAAGATAAGATATAGGAGCAGAATTAGGCCATTTGACCCATTAAGCCTGCTCCACCATTTGATCATGCCTGACCGGTTTCTCAACCTCGTTTCCTGCCTTCTCCCCATAATCCTTGATGCCCTTACTAATCAAGATCTGTTTTGAATACACTCAATGACTTGGCCTCACAGCCCTCTGTATCGAGCAGTTACAGATTACCCACCCTCTGGCTGAAGAAATTCCTCCTCACGCACCCCAATGCCTCTTTGCTTGCAAGTTCACAGTTTCTTGAAGATGGAGTCACAGTTAGACAGGATAGTGAAGGCAGCATTTGGAATGCTTGCCTTTATTGGTCAGTGCATCGAGTATAGGAGTTGGGGTGCCCTGTTGCGGCTGTACAGGACATTGGTTAGGCCACTTTTGGAATACTGCGTTCAAATCCGGTCTCCTTGCTATAGGAAAGATGTTGTTAAACTTCAAAATGGTGCAGAAAAGATTTATAAGGATGTTGCCCGGGTTGGTGTTTGAGCGAGGTTGAGGGGTGAGGGGTTAGAAAATCATGAAGGAGTCGGTTTCCAAGCTGTACAACTCTGACTCTGTGAGGTGCAATGGATAGGGCGAATAGCCAAGGTCTTTTTCCCAGGGCAGGGGAGTCCAAAACTAGAGGACATAGGTTTAAGGGGAGAGGGGAAAGAGAAGGGCAACTTTTTCACGCAGAGGGTGGTGCACGTATGTAATGAGCTTCCAGAGGAAGTGCAGAAGGCTGGTACAATTACAACATTTAAAAGGCATCTAGATGGGTACACGAATAGGAAAAGTTTAGAGGGATATGGGCCAAATGCGACTAGATTAATTGAGGATATCTGGTATGCGTGGACAAGTTGGACTGAAG